GCCCCGCCCCGCCCCTCCCGGCCGTGCCGCGCTGCGCCCTGATCACCCCAGGGGGCCCCACCTGGTGTGTGCGCCGGCGTCGCTGCTGGACAACTGGGCGCGCGAGATCGGCCACTGGTGCCCAAACCTGCGGGTCCTGACCTACCACGGCAACAGCAGGTCGGATGCATGTGTGTGTGTGTGTGTGTGCAAGTGTGTGTGTATGTGCGTGTGCATGTGTGTTATGAGAGGTCCGCTGCACGAAGCTCGCAGCGCGGAGCCCGCAGCAAGCGCGTGTTGCCTGCCTCCCATGCGCGTCGCGTTTGGGTGCCCACGCGTGCTGTCGGCTGCGCTCGACTGTGCAGGGTGCGAGTGCGGGGCGGCGGCGCTGCACGCGTCAGCCCAGCCGCGTCAAACATGCGTGCCAGTCACGTACAGTTGGAGGGTGCCTTGCGGCGGGCGCCTCTCGCCACCCCTGTGCACCGCGTGTGCGCCCAGGATCACCCGCCCTCACACCGTGCGCCCGCTCCCCAGGGAGGAGACGCGCGGCCGCCTGGAGGCATGGCGTATCAAGGTGTGGCCACCCCCCACGCGACGCTCGCGTGCTGCACGGTCGCTGTCGCCTCGGCTGCGGGGCGCGGCCGCCGCGGCCCGCTGCCAGGGGGCCCGTCTGCGCGCGCCGCTCCCGCCGCCGCCGCCGCTTCCCCTCCAAGCAGACACCCCCGCCGTCCCGCAACGGAGGATGACAAAACACCACCTCCCAGAAGCGCCAGTGCTTTGATGCAGTCACGCGTGCAGCCAGCAGCCCCGGGGTGTGCAGCAACAGTCAGCAACCTGGCTCCTGGCCGCGGCGCCCTGCACCCTGAACCCTTTGAACCCCCACGCGCCTGCAGCTTGCCGGGGCTCGACACCCAGCAAGTTATCGCCCCTTGCACCACCCATGCGCGTGCAGGTGGCTGAGGCGCTGGACCGCGGTGACCTGAAGCAGCCGCCCCCCGGCTACATCCGCCCCGGGGACGAGGCCTTCAACGACCCGCTGGAGCGCCGCGGCCGCGGCGGCGGCGGCGACGACGACGACGAGGAGGAGGGCAGCAGCGGCAGCGACACCGTCAGCGAGGGTGCGGGGGCCAGGGCTTCGCGGGCGTGGGCTGGGCTGGGCTGGGGTGGTCGCTTGACCGCGCAGGGTGGTGGAATGGCACTTCCCTGGGCATTTTTGTCAACGCCCACCATAACACACACACACACACACGCGCGCGCGCGCGCGTGCGCGAACACACACGCACGGCACACACACACACACGCGCGCGAACACACTCGCAAATTGCACCCGCCGCACGCTCCACAAAGCCACCCGGAAACCCCAACGCCCCTCCTCACAAACTCCCAGAGGAGCCTGACGGCGTGGCGGTGGCCGCCTACCTGTCCAAAACCAAGGAGCTGCTGGATGAGGACGAGCACAACATAGCCACCGGCCAGGGCGCGTTCGACGTCATGCTGACGACATACTCCATGTTTGAGCGCGAGAGCCAGAGGCACACGTGAGGGGGGTGGGGGGTGTGTGGGG